GGGCGAAATCGACGGCCACCTTGCGGTCCGCAATTGGCTGTTTTCTGTCATGCGGGGTGGCCCCCGCATCCGGGGGGCCTTCGTCCTGGGCCTGCGGCGGAAGGGCCCCGGCGCGTCCGTGTCCGAATGGTTTGGCGATCCTCCTGAAAAAGAAGTTGTCGCTGGAAGTTGCCATTTTTACATGTGGATCTTGCTCGAAGCGTCCCAGTCGTGAGCCTCGTCGCGCCGCTTGGTGTTGCGGCGCCTTTCGAGATGGGGCGCGCGTTTGCGAGATCTGCTGCCCATTCGCCCTCCTCTTCGACAGTCTCCCCGGGCCGCTGAGTATTCAGGTTTCAGTGGCTCTATTATGTGCCTGACATTGCCTTCTTACGTGTATACCGATGGTGCCGACGTCGTTAATGATTATGCTCATGACCTTGGCGTGTCTTCTCGTTTTCGCAAGGCGCGCGCTGGGCGCATTGACCTGACCAGAACCGACGAGGCGCACGAGTTTTTAGAAGGCGCAGGACAGGTTAAGGCGCGTCTCGGTCTTGGTGGACCAGGACTGGCGGCAGAAATTTATTTCCGCGAGATTGGGGATCAACTGCTTGGCCCATAGGGCACGCTGCCGCGCGCGCGGCGCGTGGGCGGCGTTTTGCCCAGTGGATCAGCTGGCAGATGTTGGTGCTAAAGCTGCGTTGGAGTTGCACCGCGTGGATTCGGATATCCTTCGGGAGACGGACCGTAGTATAGAATCCACCAATGCTTTCTGTAGCTTAGCCATGCAATGTTTACCGAGGTTCCCTTCTGTCAGAGATCATGGCGAGGTAAGGTGCGTCAAGCCAGATTCTTGGAGGGTAGACAGGTCATCGCCTGATTTTTGTAACTTCTCTTGGATCGCTGGGCTTTGGAGGTGCGTCGTCTGCTGCAAAGCCACCAAGTCTCAGTTCGCGGTGGGGTTCGGAGGGCGCCCAGTTCCGCCACTCAGGAAGTGCGCAGGCCGTGTGTTCGGATTCGGTATTGCCCAGATTGGCTGCTAACCGTCGTGCGGTCGTGGGCTCTTCGTGTTCAGATCATTATGCGTTGTGTATTTGCGGTCGCTGCATCGCTTCGATTTCGACTGGCGCCCCCTCGAGGTCAAACCTGTTTTTGAAGCGCTGTCCTGGATAAACTCTTGGAAGAAGTCCGAGTGGAACAGATTATTAGGGTGTAGCCACCCGCAGCACAACAACTGGCACGTAAAGGTCATTGCGGATGATATAATCTCCCAGACCTCCGGAGGAGGAGCAGTTGGTGCCGCGAGCTCAAGCTATGGTGATTCTGCCATTTCTTCGGACTCAGCCGCCTCAGGTGCTGATGCCGCGCAGGTGGAGCCTGGACCTGCGGTTCAGTGCTCTCCATCATCTGCGTCGGGCCATATACCCGGGTCCGAAGTTTCGTGTAGATGTTCTGGTCGTGCATAGCTCCCTGCCGCAAACGCGAGAGCTGTTTCAATGCGGATCTCCGCCTCCCTTCGGGAGGAAGAGGTCTGCTTTACCTTGGGAGGGGGCTTGGGGGGTGAGTTGGGCGAATCTGGGTCGGGATCGGACTAATTTCTGGGGTGTGCCGTTTGCTTGTCGCAGTCTGTTAGTGTCTCTCCGTTCGGTCTGTGCTTCCTTGTTTCTGTTCGGGCGCCGCCCTTTTTGGGCAGCCCGGCTCCAGCCTTACGGGCTTTGCCCCTCTGTCTCGCTGCGCGCTCCCGCCCGCGCAGCGATCAAAGGCTGCCGGTCGTCGCCCTGCAGCCAGTGCAGCTTGTCAGAGATCCGCTGCCTTCTGTCTCCGCCTGTGGTCGGGTGGTTTCCCGCGTCCACCTTTCGCAGCTGGAGCACTGCGGGTCAGACAAAACACATCCCCCGTCGCTTGCCGCCGACCTATAGTGGGTGCCCGACCACAAGGAACCTTCCGTCCAAAACCCAACCCTGAGACGCCAGGGCGCCCATGGATTTTTGGCGTGGGAACGTTGCGCTCTCCGTCGCAGAACCATCGAAACCTAAGAAACCCAGGGCACCCTGGAGGCAAGCAGGGCGTTTCTTGGCAAGGCTGGACCGAAACGTCGTTTTGCTGGACTTCGGCTGTGTTCTGGTTTTCGTTTGGCAGGGAGGCGCAGGAAAACAGGGAGAGCAAAACGAACAACAAAACGAGAACAACACGAAAAACAACGTCTAGGTCCAGCCCTGTTTCTCGGCATGGGCCCCCACTGCAGGCCAGCCCCCCTGCACCGCTGCCCGTCGCTTCAGGCAGCTCCGTGTGCGCACCGCCTGTGCCGACTGCTCCGTGCCCGCCCCCTCCTCGCACGCCTCTCGGTCTGCACCCTCTCTCCCCCGGTGCCGCGCCCGCCCCCCGCCGCTCCCGCCGCAGATCCGACGCTCCAAAAACATTTTTTTCCAAAAGACAAAATCAACAAATCGGGCTCCGGTGGCCCTCGCTGGGCTTCGGGAGCCTCAGAAAACTCAGGACGAAAAACCAGTCCCGCGGAAGTGGTCTGGACCTCCGGGGTCCACGTATCGAACGAGTTGGAGCAGCCGGGTGTCTGGGGAAGTGGACTCCCAGCACGCGCGCTCGGCATGCAGTGGCTGAGCAGGTGCGGTCTCCTGCGGAGAAGGTGAGCAGGAGCAGTGGCTCCCGCTGCGGGGAGGGGCTGCGGCTCCTCCCCGCTCGTGGCCCCCACCCCCCCCTGCGGAGAAAGCGAGACTGCGTAAGCATCTGCTGCCCCGGTGGTAAGTCATGGGAGCCTGGCGTGCCCTCTGAGCTCCGCCTTTGGCGTCGACTGGCATCGATTGGCGTTTGGGGGTCGAAGAGACAGCGCCGATTTAGCGCCGTTTAGCGTCGATTGGCGCCGATGTAGCGTCGATTGGCATCCACTAGCGTCGAGTAGCGTCGATTCGCAAGATGGTATGGGAGGCTCTCGTGAGTTGCCACCGAATGCCCCCTTCCCCCTTTCGCTCACTCCTCTCTCCCCATTTCCTCTACCACTGCGTCACGTCCGCCCCGTAAGATCTGGGATGGCGTTCTCGCGGCGACGTGCCGCCCCGTAAGATATAGAGCTCGTCCCTCCTCTCCCCTTCGAAGGACAAACACATTGCATAAACATACAATTTCGATTGTCCTCGTGGACTTTTTGGATCTGCGGTTTGCCCCCCTCCCTGGCAGCAGGGAGGGGGGTCCAGCCGCATCCAAGAAATCCGTGCGTACCGTCGAACGTTTATGTTTATGCCACTCTTTCTTCCTCTACCTCTGCGTCACGTCGGCCCCGCAAGATATGGTACGACTTTCTCGCGGCGATGTTATGACGGGAGTTTTATGTAAATATGGCATGAATCTGCCGACGAACGTTTGGGGTAAGTCCGACGTGGATCCTGCGTAAATTGGGTTTCAAGTTGCCGCGCGAGGCCTCCAGGATCTTCTTCACAACATATCAACCGCGACGGTTCATGCCTTCGGACATCGTGGAGTGGTGGTGATTATTCTCTGGCCTCCCTGCGGGTGGGCAGGTATCCATGTCCACTGCTCTCTAGACCAGGGGCCATGGGGAGGACTCCAGCTGTCGTGGATGTGGATGGTTCTCGGTGGCTGCCGATGCGGCCCCCTGGGAGGAACATCCTGGAAAGGCCCCGTCTGGCGCGCAGTCGACGCATCATCTAGTCCGCACGTCCGCCCCGGCAGCTTTGGGATGACGTTCGTGCGGTGATGTTCCAATGTAAGTCCGACGCGAACCCGACGTGAACCCGACGTACACCCGAGGCACATCCGACGTATACGCGACGTGAAGCCGACGTGGATCCAGCGTGCATCCCGCGGACACCCGATCGAGCTGCCGCGCGAGGCCTCCAGGATGTTCCTCATAAGGCTCCCTCCTCCTCGACTCACTCGTCCATCTCCCTTCCACATGTTCTACTGGCCAGGCCCGGCAAGCACCGACCAGTACCTCCGTCCCTGGCGGGTGGCGCCGTGGGCGCACCCGCACGAGCAGAGGGTGCGTTCGTGCCCGCAGGCTGAGGAAACCGCGGATTTGCGAGGGACGCTTGCCGATTAGGGACCGTTGTGCTTTTTTTGTGGGCGGGGGGGGGGCTGGTGCTTCGGAGAGGTCATGGCCAAGTAGTGGAGGATAACCATAATGAAAGGAGGAGGAGGAGGAGGAGGAGGAGAAGGACGAGGAGGAGGAGGACGAGGAGGACGAGGAGGACGAGGACGAGGAGGAGGAGAAGGAGGACGAGGACCATGACGACAACGACGAAGAGGCCCGAGGCAAGGAGGCGAGGACGAGGATGAGGACGAAGGCGCTGGCACTGCTGGGCAATGGGAGGGCAGAGGACGAAACATGATATTCCATACAATATCAGGAGCGGAGGAGGGAGGAGGAGGAGGAGGAGGAGGAGTAGGAGGAGGAGGAGGAGGAGTAGGAGGAGGAGGAGGAGAAGGAAAGGAGCAGGAGCAGGAGGAGGACGAGGTTGTGGAGGAGGATGAGCATGAGCAAGAGGGGTGTTAAGAGGAGTATGAGGATGCGGATGAGGCGGCCGTTTGCTTTCACGCACGCGCGCAGGTTTTGTAGTGCGCACGTGCACTTCTGATGTTTCCAAGTTGCCTGGGTCCGAACATGTTATGTCGTGATGGATTGCGTCATAGGGATTGCCGCCCAGACCTTCCGGACGCGTCTGGAGTATAACACCGTCTCAATGACAGTAGTTCGTATTGCCACGCTCTGGAATTAGAGTTCCGCCGTTGTGTAGCAGTTCCAATCCAGTTTAAACAGCTTGTGCAGTTTAGACGAGTCGAATGTGCCGCATACTCTTTGACATTGAAGAAAGTCCACTCCCCCCTTAAGTATGTAGAGGTAGCCCCCATCGGCGCCTGCACCGCCAACCTCAGAGGCTGAAGCGCCAGGCACTAGAGACTCCCAGAGTGTGTGTGCCTGCTCGCTTGCTTGCTCCGCAAGCCTCCTCCTCCTCCTCCTCCTCCTCCGCACAGCGCGGCCCGCGACGCAGGCTCCTACGGCGCAGCTGCCTACGGTGCCAGCGCCAGCGGCGCTGCCGACGGCGCCCGCCGCCTCCCCTCACCGAAGGCCCAGGCCAGGGCGCCGAGGCAGGGACCACCTTGGGCTCTGGGGGGGCTCTGGCTTCCGGGTTGCTCCTTGGGTCGGGGAGCCTACTCGTGGCCGAGGCTCGCCGCGGCCAAAAAACGCCCCATGCGTTCCTTCTTCGGCATCCCTTGTGATCGCACGACGGCTGTGCTGGGTGTACCCGCGCCGGGTCGATTCCTCGCGGAAGCTTGTCGTCGTCCTGCCGCCGCTGGTGCTGCTGCTGCTGGTGCTGCTGATGCTGCTGCCCCTCGTCCTTGCATTCGCCGCGGGCATGGCCCCGCATGCCACCCCCTGTTTGGCGTCTGCGTTCCACCCTTCTTCCAGCGTGTCGGTCGTGGCCTGAATGATCAGCGATCGCTGTTTCGAGGACGCCTACTGCGAATCACAGCCGCCCCCTGCCTTTTGGGAACTTCTGTACGGCCAAACGTGATGGCCAGAGCTCGGCCACACTATCGGACTGTGGGTTTCCCCAGTCGTCGTGGGAATATTTCGGGGAGTACTCGGGGGACGAAGAGACAGAAGACGGGAGAGAGGAACAAGATGGAGGATGATGATGAGGAGGAGGCGGTTGAGGATGAGAATGAGGATGAGGATGGGGATGACGATGATGATGATGATGATGATGATGATGATGATGATGATGATGATGATGATGATGATGATGATGATGATGCTGATGCTGATGCTGATGCTGCTGCTGCTGCTGCTGATGATGATGATGATGCTGATTATGATGATGATGATGATGATGGTGATGATGATGATGATGCTGATGATGATGATGCTGCTGTTGATTATGCTGATGGTGATGCTGTTGTGATGCTGCTGTTGAGGATGATGCTGATGATGATGCTGATGCTGATGATGAGGATGATGATGCGGATGCTGTTGAGGAGGCGGTTGAGGATGAGGATGAGGATGGGGATGACGATGATGATGATGATGATGATGATGCTGATGATGATGATGATGATGATGATGATGATGATGATGATGATGCTGATGATGATGCTGATGCTGATGATGATGCTAATGGTGATGATGCTGATGATGCTGATGCTGATGATTATGATGATGCTGATGATGAGGAGGACGATGATGGTAATGGTGATGATGAGGATGATGATGATGCTTCTGATGATGATGAGGATGATGATGATGCTGCTGATGATGATGGTGATGATGATGCTGATGCTGATGATGATGATGATGCTGATGCTGAGGATGTGGATGAGGATGTGGATGAGGATGCGGGTGAGGGTGAGGATGAGGATGAGGATGAGGATGATGATGATGATGATGATGATGATGAGGAGGAGGAGGAGGAGGAGGAGGAGGAGGAGGAGGAGGAGGAGGAGTAGGAAGAAGAGGAGGAGGAGGCTACTTGAGATCTTTTTGGGCACTCTTGGGGCCTCTTGGGCGCCTCCTGGAGACGTCTTAGAGAATTCTTGGAGGCCTCCCTGGGCCTGGCGGCGGCAGGCGTTGTGCAATTTCCGCTCGTCTTGTGCGTCCCTGGCCTGCCTGACGCTGTCGAAAGTCGTGTTGGGGGCCTCCCAGGGTCGTCCTGGAGGCCATCTTGGGCGTCTTGGAGGTCTCCCGATGGAGCCGTCTTGGCGGCCTCGTGGCCCGTCATGAGGCCATCTTGGAGGCCTCTTGGTCACTCTTTAGATAATCTTGGGGGCCTCCTGGGCCGTCTTAGGCCATGGGAAGGCCATGCAGGAGCAACCACCACCATCCTTACAACAGAGGGGGCCTATTGAACCGTCTTGGAACGTCGGACACCCGGAAAGGCGAGAACGCTCGTATTCTTGACACAGTTATCACCTGGAGGGCATTTTGGGCCGTCTTGGGGCCATCTTGGCCGTCAGGGAAGCGCCTTGGGACCGTCTTGGAGGCCATCTTGGGCTATGTTGGCCGTCTTGGAGCCATCGTGGAGTGGGGGCCACATTGGGCTGTTGTGGCCGTCTTGGAGGCGATTTTGGCAATGGGGTAGGTACATCTTTTCGGCGGCATCGTGGGTCCTTCCGGGTGGCAGGCGGGATCGGCCGAAGGCCCAGTGGGAACTTTTACAATGCACCGTCTGGGAGGCCACCTTGGGCCATCTTGGCCGTCTTGGAGGCATCTTGACGGCCGTCTTGGGCCATCTTGGCCACCGTCCTGGGACGATTTGTTGTGCACGTTGACATCTTTATGCCGCTTGCCGGGTGGCTGTCCGGTTTGGCCGAGGGCCGTTGGAACCTTTTCGGGCCGGGCCAGGGATTGCTTAACATCTGGCCAAGCGCGCACCCCTGTGGCAAGCCACAGGGGGCGGCGGATCGAAGACGCCTACGGCGAATCACCGCCGACCCCTTCCTTTTTGGAAACGCCTATGTGGCCGAACGTTGTGGCCAGAGGCCTGCCAAGCTATCGGACCATGTGTTCCACGAATCGGTTTGGAACGCGTTCGGGGAACACGGTGGGCCTTTCTTGGGGTGCTCCAGGGCCGTCTTGGAGGCCATCTTGAGCGTCTTGGAGGCCTCTTGGGCCGTCTTGGGGGCCTCTTGGGGCCGTCTTGGGGGCCTCTTGGGCCGTCTTGGGGGCCTCTTGGGCCGTTTTGGGGCCATACTGGAGACCTCTTGGGCGATCTTTGGGGGCTATTGGGCTATCTCGGGCCGTCGGAAGGCCGAACAGAAGCAAATGTCAAAATCCTTCGAACACCTATGGAACATCAATGTTTTTGGCCTTGTCGGGCCTTCCTGGAGGCCCTCTTGGAGGCCTCTTGGGCCGTCTTGGGCCATCTCAGGGCCATCTTCGGCCGTCTTGGTGGGCGCCTGGCACGTCTGATGCCGTCGGAAGCCGTTTGGGAGGCCTCCCTGGGCCGACTTGGGGCCCTCTTGGATTGCTCCAGGGCCGTCTTGGAGGCCATCTTGGGCGTCTTACAGGCCTCCTGGGCCGTCTTGGGGGCCTCTTGGGGCCGTCTTGGGGGCCTCTTGGGCCGTTTTGGGGCCATATTGGATGCCTCTTGGGCGATCTTGGGAGATCTTTGGAGGCTCTTGGGCCGTCTCGGGCCGTCGGAAGGCCGAAAAGAAGCAACTGTCAAAATCCTTCGAACACCCTTGGAACATCGATATGTTTGGCCTCTTCTGGCCATCCTGGAGGCCCTCTTGGAAGCCTCTTGGGCCGTCTTGGGCCAGCTTCGAACCAACTTCGGCCATCTTGGTGGGCTCCTGGCCCGTCTGACGCCGTCGGAAGCCGTTTGGTGGGCCTCTTGGGGCCGACTTGGGGCCCTCCTGGGGTGCCCCAGGGCCGTCTTGGCGGGCCATCTTGAGCGTCTTGGAGGCCTTTTGGCCCATCTTGGGACCCTCTTGGGACCGTCTTGGGGGCTTCTTGGGCCGTCTCGGGACATCTTGGAGGCCTCGTGGGCGATCTTGGGGCGATTTTTGGGGCCTCTTGGGCCGCCTCGAGCCGTCGGAATGCCGAGAAGGAGCAAATGCCAAAATCCTTCGAAACCTTAGGACAACCGATGTTTTTGGCCTCTTCGGGCCCTCCTGGAGGACCTCTTGGAGGCCTCTTGGGCCTTCTTGGAGGCCTCTTGGGGGCCTCTTGGGCCGTCTCGGAGGCCATCTTCAGGCTATCTTAGGCCGTCTAGGGTACATCTTGGGCCGTCTTGGAGGCATCTTGGGGCCATCTGAGCCGTTTTGGAGGCCATCTTGGCCGTCTTGGAGTCATCTTGGCCGTCTTGGAGGCCATCTTGGGGCCGTCTGGGGCAGGATAACCGTTTGCAACCACCTCTTCCGGGTGTCCGGCGGGACGTGACGAAGCCCCAGGGGGCGTTCTTTTGGAACAAGAACCAAACCAAAGGCCATATCGTTCGGCACGCCAGGCACCCCTTTGATAAATCAAAAGGGGGCGGCTGATCGAAGACGCCTACGGCGAATCACCGCCGCCCCCTGTCTTTGTGGAAGCGCCTATGTGGCCGACAGCTGGGCTAGAGCTTGCCCAAGCTATCGGACCATGTGTTCCCCGAGTCGGTTTGGAAAACCTTCGGGGAACACGTGGACATCTTGAAGGTCTTCTTGAAGGACGTCCTGGCCCTTTCGGGCCTTCTTGGAGGACGTCTTGGAGGTCTCTTGGGCCCTCTGGGGGCGCCTCGGGGCCGTCTTGTAGGCCATCTTGGGCGTCTTGGGCAGTGTTTGGGGCCTCTTGCGGCCGTCTTGGGGCCGTCTTGGGGCGCTCCTGGAGGCCTCTTGGGCCGTCTTGGGGCGCTCTTGGAGGCCTCCTGGGCTGTCTTTGGAGCGCCGGGAAGCCGAAAAGACAAAAAACAAAATCCTTCCAAAACCATAGTAAAGTGGACGATTTTGGCCTCTTCGGGCCCTCCAATCAATGTTTTTGGCCTCTTCTGGCCTTCCTGGAGGCCCTCTTAGGGGGCCTCTTGGGCCGTCTTGGGCCAGCTTCGAGCCAACTTCGGCCATCTTGGTTGGTTCCTGGCACGTCTGACGCCGTCGGAAGCCGTTTGGGGGGCCTCTATGGGCCGACTTGGGGCCCTCTTGGAATGCTCCAGGGCCGTCTTGGAGGCCATCTTGGGTGTCTTGGAGGGCATCTTGGGCGTGTTGGAGGCCTCTTGGGCCGTCTTGGGGCCCTCTTGGGGCCATCTTGGAGGCCACTTGGGCCGTCATGGGGCCCTCTTGGGGGCCTCTTGGGCGATCTTGGGCGATCTTGGGGGCCTCTTGGGCCGTCTTGAGCCGTCGGAATGCCGAGAAGAAGCAAATTCCAAAATCCTTCAAAAACCTAAGGAACATCAATGATTTTGCCCTCTTCGGGCCCTCCTGGAGGACCTCTTGGAGGCCTCTTGGGCCGTCTGGGAGGCCTCTTGGGAGCCTCTTGGGCCGTTTTGGACTATCTTGAGGCCATCTTAGGCGGTCTTGGGTGCATCTTGGGCCGTCTTGGAGGCATCTTGGGGCCATCTTAGCAGCCTTG